ATGACCTGAGCTGAAATCAAGTCGGATACTTAAATGACTGAGCCACCCATGCACCCCCCCAATATAATTTATTTAAAGCAAATTTTGAAGGATGTCATTTGTTATGGGTAAGGCTAAATATTACCAAGGATTTTATTAAACATAAATTTTACAATATAATATTTGATAAAATAAAGGTTTTAACTTCAAATAATGTCTTATTATATATCATTATAAAGTGATTTTCTAAAGTATTAAGGCTTCTCAAAAACTATTTTAGAAGTGTTTTTTTTTAATTAGCAAATACTAAACTACAGAGATGGGGAGCTTTTCCTCTTATTTTACAGTTGAGAAAACGGAGGCTCAAAAAAAATGAACTATTTGTTCAAAGGCCAAAAATTAATAGATGGCAGATTCTAGTTTTAAATTCAAGATGATCTGATTCTAAAATTCATGCTCTTAATCACAAATGCCAATGTGTGGCTTAGACAGTGGTACGGGGGCCTGGGGGAGGGGGAGTCTGAGTGACATTTCAAAGACAAAATCCATAGGCAATGCTGATGGCTCAGAGAGATGAAAGTTTTGATGAGTAAAGGTTCTCTTCTAGCTGAGAAATTTAGGAAAATAGTGTTGCTACCGTAAAATACCATAACAGTAGAAAAATAAATAAATAAGCAAGATAGGAATTTCATTTAAGGAAAAAGGTGCTGAGATTGATTGTGGCCTTGCTAAGTCAAAAGTAGCATTAAGACTTATGGGTAGGGGCACCTGGGTGGCTCAGTCATAAGCATCTGCCTTCGGCTCAGGTCATGATCCCAGGGTCCTGGGATCGAGCCCCGCATCGGGCTCCCTGCTCAGTGGGAAGCCTACTTCTCCCTCTCCCTCTGCCTGCTGCTTGTGTTCCGTCTCCCATTGTCTCTGTCAAATAAATAAATACAATCTTTAAAAAAAAAAAAAAAAAGACTTACAGGTAGAGCTGTCCTATAAAGCATTTGAAAATACAGGACTTAGATTCTGTTGAAAGTCAGTGCTGAAAATGTAGATTCAAGATCCATCAACTAAGGGTAGTGGTTGAAGCCAGAACAGGTGAAAAAGAATGAGAATCTGGAGACATGACCTAAAAACAGTAACATGATCTAAGCCTCAAGGAAGGCCCCCACTTGTGGGCTTAAGGAAGGGAAAATGTGAGCCAAGAAAATGAAGAAATAAGCAAATAAATAACAAAAAGTTAAAGGAGGACCAGGACAACCTAGAATCATGAAAGCCAAGAAATAATAAACATGGCTAAAATTTATTGAGCACTTACTGTGGATCAAATTTGTGTTGTGTATTTCACAGACATTATCTTATTTAATCTTTATAGTAACTCAAGGAGGTAGGTCTGTAGATCTTTACTGATAGATGAAGACACAGAGGCTTTGCAAAATTAAGCCAATATGCCTGTCACTCAGCTAGCAAGTCCTAGGGCAAAAACTGGAATGTGTGTTTCCAGCCTCCAGGGTCCATTTTCCAACCAGTGGTCTCTAGAGTGTACAAGGCAAACTACTGTGGTGTGGGAAGAAAATGTTAAATTGCAATTATTATATCTCTTCTTCTTTAAATTGCATTTTTGTGTATGTTTTACAACAAGCATCCTATATTAGTATGGTGAATGCGCATATTTTCTAAATTAATAAGTATATATTTATTGGGACATATGCTCGTTAATTTACTAATGTAAGGATGCAAAACATATTGGAATCATTTCTTTATTATTTTTTTAATCACTTCTTTAAACTGCTATACAAAACTGCCTTTTTGTCTTGTCCCATCTTCAACAAGAAACTACGTTCACTTTAAAAGACAGCATGGCGCATGCTGTCTTTTAAATGCAATACTAGTTCTAATTGAGTTAAATAAGAACTGTTTATTTCATGGGTTCTTTTCAAGTTATTCCTTGGTATTTTCAGAAATTTGTGAAAGCTTTTGGGTTTAATTGGTTCTTTGTAATAGTAAAAGGAACACAGGCTTTAGACCAGACAGATACCAGCTTTGACCCTTCTGACCATATGACCTCAGACAAATACCTCATTTCTCAGAGCCAGGTTTGTTCATCTGTAAACTGAAGATAATATGTACCTGGCAGAGTACTGCAAAGTTTAGCAATATCATGTGAAAATAACTTAGCACTGGGCCTGGCATACAGTGGATACTTTTAGATTTTATTTATTTATTTGAGGTGGGGGCGCACACGTGGTGAGAGGGGGTGAGGAAGGGCAGAGGGAGAGGGAGAAAGAGAATCCAGAGCAGACTACGCTGAGCCCAGAGCCCCATGCAGGGCTCAGTCTCATGACCCTCAGATCATGACCTGAGCCAAAATCAAGAGTCAATTGCTTAACCAGCTGAGCCACCCAGGGGCCCCTACAAGTGATACTTTAAAAGAACAGCAAAAAGTAATAATAGGAGCAGTACTTCTTTACTGTAAAGAATATCTATAGTTCAATCATCATGTCCCCTCTAAAATCCAGACACATATACCTTTGGCAAAGTTTTGCCTATACTGTCCTTAATTTAACCTGGGTACTTGTTTGAACATAGACAAAAAGGATTTTCCAGAAATATGGAGGCCACTGCATACAGCTGTGCAGGTTGGGGAATGCCATTTACATGAGCTACAGGCATACCTTGGATATATTGTGGGTTCAGGTCCAGACCACTGCAATAAAGCAAATATCACAATAAAGCAAGTCAGGTGAGAATTTTGGTTTCCCAGTGTAAATAAAAGTTAATGTTTACACTATACTGTAGTCTATTAAGTGTGCAATGGCATTCTGCCTTAAAAAAAATACCTTAATTTAAAGATATTTTATTGTGGGCTGCCTGGGTGGCTCATTCGGTTAGGCAGCTGCCTTTGGCTCAAGTCATGACCCAGGGTCCTGGGATCAAGCCTCGCATCGTGGTCCTGGGGTCCTGGGATCAAGCCCCACATCAGGTTCCTCTGATGGATCTGGGCAAAATCAACTGAAAACCTTTTGGAAAGGATTCACCATCCTAGATGCTATTAAGAAACAAATAATACATTATATGTTAAAAAAAAAAAAGATAATAGGAAGGGAAAAACAAAAGGGGGGAAATGGGAGGGGGAGACAAACCATGAGAGAACTATGGACTCTGAGAAACAAACTGAGGGTTCTAGAGGGGAGAGGGGTGGGGGGATGGGTTAGCCTGGTGATGGGTATTAAAGAGGGCACGTACTGCATGGAGCACTGGGTGTTATACACAAACAGTGAATCGTGGAACACTACATCAAAAACTAATGATGTAATGTATGGTGATTAACATAGCATAATAAAATAAAATTAAAAAAAAAAAGTCACCACCTAATCTTTCTCCTTCCCAGCTTTTTGAATTATTTTCATAGTGGGCTGATTCTAACACTAATCTTATATACATACTTTAGTAAAAATGTTAATCTTTAAAAAAAAAAAAGAACATTTGTGATTCGTGGAAAGAGGTCAAGATATCAACATTAACAGGAGTTTGGAAGTTGATTGTATCCCTCATGGATGACCTTGAGGAGTTCAAGACTTCAGTGGAGGAAGTAGCTGCAGATGTGGTGGAAATAGCAAGAGAACTAGAATTAAAGTGGGCCCTAAATATATGACTGTATCTCCTGATAAAACTTTAAGGAGCTGATTCCTATGGATGAGCAAAGCAGGTGGTTTCTTGAGATGGAATCTACTCCTGGTGAAGATAGCACTTGCTTGATAGCACTTTACCTACAGTAGAACTTCTTTCAGAATTGGAGTCATTCCTCTGAAACCATTCTGCTGCTTTACCAACTACGTTTATGTAACATTTAAGTCCTCTGTTGTCATTTCAACAGCCTTCACAGCATCAGTTGACTTTGCCCAGATCCATGAGAGGAATCACTACCTGTGGCAGCTATCGCCTTACAAAATGTATTTCTTAACTAGTAAGACTTGAAAGTTGAAATTACTATGTGGTGCATGGGCTGCAGAATCAATGTTGTGTTAGCAGGCCATGAAAGCAGTGTTAATGTCACTATCCATTTCCATCAGAGCTCATGGGTAATCAGGTGCATTGTTAATGAGTGATAATATTTTGAAAGGCATCTTTTTTCTGAGCAATAGGTCTCAACAGTAGGCTTAAAATACTCAGTAAACCATGTTTTAAACAGATGTGCCATCATCCAGGCTTTGTTGTTCCATTTTTAGAGCATAGGCAGAGTAGATTTAGCATAGTTCTTAAGGGCCCTAGAATTTTCAGGATGGTAAATGAACATTGGCTTCAACTTAAAGTCACCAGGTGCATTAGCTCCTAAAAAGAGAGTCAGCCTGTCTTTGAGGCTTTGAAGCCACGCACTGACTTCTCTGTATCTGAGAAAGACCTAGATGGCATCTCCTTCCAGGACAAGACAGTTTCATCTGTAGTGAAAATCTGTTGTTCTGTGCAAGCTACAGCATGAATTATCTTAGCTAAATAACTTGCTAGATAACTTGCTGCGGCTTCTCCCTCAGCACTTGCTGCTTCACCTTTGCACTTCTATGTTCCAAGAAGGCTTCTTTCCTTAAACCCCATGCACCCACCTCTGCGAGCTTCAGACTTTCCTTCTGCAGCGTCCTCACCTCTCTCAGCCTGCAGAGACTTGAAGAGAGTTAGGGCCTGGCTCTGGTTTAGGCTTTGGTTGTGGCTTAAGGGAGTGTTGTAGCTGGTTTGATCTTCTATCCATAATTTTCTCCGTATCAGCAATTAGCCCGTTTAACTTTCACTTTCTTATCATTTACGTGTTCACTGGAGTAGCACTTTTAGTTTCCTTCAAGAACTTCAAGGTATGCCTTGATAAGAGTCATGGCTCCTCCTATTCTTGTACAGAGCAGTATCCCTAGAAATATCCTGGCAAAGACATAGAGGGCCAAAGATATGGCATCCTCAACAGAATTAAGAGACGAATGCCACTGCCCACACCTGCATTGGTTGGTGTGTTAAATGCTTGTCTGCTTGTTTGATGTTCTTCGCAGATCTGTACTCCCGACTTGGTGGTATTCTTGGCTTGTGCCAATCAGCGGCTCAAAGAAAGATTACTGAAGCGCGCAGAGCAACAGGGACGGCCTGATGACAATCTGAAAGCCACCCAAAGGAGACTAATGAACTTCAAGCAGAACGCTGCTCCATTGGTCAAATACTTCCAGGAAAAGGGGCTCATCATGACAGTAAGTTAGCTATACTTTTACATGTCCAGTATAAGAACAGTCTTTCAGATTTCTAATTCACCTGTTCTCATTTAGAAACCCTCTTTACTTTAAAAAAAAAAAGTGGCTTTTCCAGGGTTTTAGATCCAATGGGAAAAAAACCGATAATTTTTACCTGCTTTGCCTTGATTAATTCATTATGATAAAAATACTTTCAGTTTAGTTTAATTTTATAAAAAATGATAAATTTTAACCTTGGCTAGAATTCTACAGTTCCCCCCCCAAAAAAGTATTTTTAAATAATTAGTTGGATAATTTTAAGTAGTACTTGCCCGGTTTCTCAACTCTTCTGTCTTTGGAAACCTAATAAAATTGATAGGCTTAAAAACACATAGTTGATAGAGTGTTCTATCAGACTTACATTGTAAGTCCGGTTTTATCACAAAGTACCACGTAAAGAAATGAGGTCCTGATGGCAAAAAAAGTTTCCTAAGGGTTTGACTTGCTTAAAGAAGTAATAGTGTCCGAAAATGGAAGGCATTGATCTTTCTGCTCCATTAACACAATGCTAATATTGTTTTCAATATTTGTTTTATGGTTAATGATACTCAATGTACCAATGAAGATGAGACTGAATCATTATTTAAGTTATTAGAATACAGGAAGTTAATGGTGAAGATTCAGCTAAATTATGATTCCATAACATCAAAAATTCAGGTATTAGAGGAGACAAAAGAATCACTGACCATCTGATGAAAATATTTTATGGAAGAAGACACCAACATCAGAGCAACTCCATGATAGCTGGATGGTGGCAGAGCTCAGCAGAACCTTCCCCCCAGCCCTTGGGTTTTTCTCACCAGACCAGAGATTCTTATCTAGTGAGGTTACAATGCCTGGTGGACAATCTGATGAAAATAATTCATGCCTTTCTGAATAAAATGCACATAAGATTTTTTTTTTTTTTTACAAATTTTAGGTAAATCTACTGAAGCTCATCCACAGAGCCCCTATGACCTAGCAATTACTGGGTAAAAAAATCTCTTCATTGGACCAAGATGCCCTTAAATCTGAGACAGTCAAAACACTTGAATAATAATCTCTCTGCAGTCTTTTTAGCACTCTAAAGAAATATTTATTCGAATTTGCTCTTTGAGTCAGAGTTGTCATGTCAGAGAACTGTAAATCTGATCTGAAAATTGTTCACAGTGCCACAGTTCATTTTATGGTCTAAAAGAGACATTGAAAATAGGAAAGATTCAAGAAAGTCAGGGTGGATGTTTCTCTGGCTAATTTTGTTGGGATTGTTCCCTGTTTCTCTTGCAAATTACCAATGCTTCTGCATTGTGTCATGAAAAAAGAAATTTACCCTACAGACCAAACCCCCAACTGCAAAGTGCAGAGCCAGAGTTTTAATTGATGTTTGCAAGGCTTAAAGGTATTGCCAAAGTGTCTCTGATTACTCCCTGCCTGTCACGTTTGTCATCACAAGCAGAGCAGATTTCCCAAATGAATGCAGAGTGGGGATTGTTAATTTACTAATATTTTGCATGGAGGTGAAATGCCATTGCCTGTAATTGAGGGAGTCAATAACAATGTGGATGACAGCCTGTAACCTCAATGCTAAAACCAAATAAGCTTTAGGATGAACGCCTCTAATTACTGGGAGACTTGCCTTGGAAAGTCACCTTTTGGAAAAGTGGTGAACACAAACACAGGCTAGGCTCTGGGGAATAGAATTAGAAAATTTCGTCTGTCAAAGGAGCAAGTACTGCATCCTGAATCACATGTACTCCTTCAGAACGTGGATCATAGTTCGGTTTTGGAATTAAAATATATTGGATAGCATTTCTGCTTTTAAAGATGAGTTAAATAATAAAACGATCATTCTTATTAATCACAAAACATATTAAGATTTTACTTTAAGAACTGGGAGTTAACAGATCAAACCCCTCTGTAGTTTTTTTCTGTTGCTTCTACTTGCCCCTTTTAATTGATTCATTTATTCATTTAGTAAATATTTATTGAGAATCACTGGGTGCCAGACATTCTGCTAGGTGCTAGGGATGCAAATCTAAATAAGCAAAAGATAAGGATCTTCATTTTATTCCCTTACATATTACAAATTCCTAGAACAGTACCTGCCTGGTACATAGTGTGCTCCCAGTAAATGAATAAAGCTTACAGTCTATGGGGAAAGAGATACTAAACAATGAGTTTATTAAATGTGATAACTGTCGCAAAGGAGAATGTACAAGGCATCCTCACATATGTCATGCACTGTGTTAGGAATTGAGTAGAACAGACTCTTCTCACCCACAAGTAAGGTTAATCATTTGTCTTGGTGTGAGGTTCTTAAAGCCACGGAGACCACATCCCTCTTCAGTCCAGTTGAGAAACTTCATCTTAGTGCTTCTCTTCCCTGGGGCTTTGGAATCTGAAACTCTCACTTGAAATCTTATGTTCCAATGCCATTTAATAAATTCATGATGCTCTGGGACTTGGTCTCCATCTATAAATTGGAGATGATGTTACCTACCACATAATGTTGTTGTATGGGTGAAATGAGAGAATGTGTGTTGCACGGCAGACAGTAGCAATCCAGAGGCCATGTTTAGGGTGCACCGTGCACCCCACTGCCTGGCTCAGATTCCAGCTGTGCCACCTACCACCTGCATCACCCCCTGCAGGCTACTCATCTTCTCTGTGACTCGGCTGCCTGACCTGTGAAATGGGTATAATCATCCATCCTACCTCAGTGTAATTATAAGGAGTAAATGGATACCAGAACAGTGCCTGGAACGTTGTAAGGCCAATTTAAGTGATTGATATTGTTTTATAATTCTTGTGTTTCTTCCCTTCCCCTCCCATCCCATCTTTTGGAACCTACAATTACCACTAACAATTCTGTGCTCTCTGAGGGCTCACTGTTGCCTTTTCTCCCATAGACAGATTATTGAGGAAATCCAAAATGAAGAATCTAGGTGCCAAATTCATTTTTTCTTTAAAAATGTCTGTTATCAATTTTTAAATTGTCCCAGTGTTTTTTCTTAACTTCTGTATTGGTTATCTAATCAAGCCATAAAATGGCCGCATCTGAATACTGTGATTGGATTGTAGCAAACATCAACTCATTTTTTTTTCTTTTTTACTACATCATTCACTCTACCTATTGGCAGATTTGACTTAAGAATGAACCCAGTGTGACTGAAGAGAAAACCTAATCAAAATAGCCAGGAAAATATGCTGTTATCTGAATACTGTATCTTATTGACATGGTTCCCATGACATGGACCTTTTCATTTTTATTCTTTTATTATACTTATCCATATCCAGCCATCTGTGCATGAATTAAATGCTATGAAATCACAAGGCTAGGATATTAGGGACGTCATAGAATCTTCTCAGACAAGTTTATATGTTGTTTTTTAACTTACAATAGGGTAGGATGTAATTGCTCATCATATCTTTTACAGTTTTGTGCTCCTAGTTAACTTAGGTGCTATGAGTTCCCCAAGTTTGTCAAGAGTTTTGTTTTGAAGTTTGTTTGAGTATTACCGGGACCAAGAAAGCTGCTTGTCTTAAAGTCTTACAGAGTAAGCTCTGTTTCATGACATTTTGAAGCACTGGGACTTGATGAAACTATAGAATTCTTGAAGTATAATTTCCCTTCTATAGGATCTTCAAAAGTCTCAGTAATATATGTGTGTGTGTGTGTGTGTGTTTGTAATGATAATTTTTTATCTTTATTTTTAAAGCTTAAAGAAACCCCTAGTCTGTTTTAATCATCCTCCCTAAGTTGGATGAAACTTATTGGAGAAATAGTATTAGTTAAGACAGGTCAAGCTTAAGTAAGTTTGAGGAACTATTTAAAAAATACACACAGTTTTGTTTGTTGTTTTAAGAAAAAAGTCTTCTAAAATGATTGAAAAATAATAGGGTAAGATGTAATGTTTATATTATTATTTTCCAAAATGCACTGTGCTGTTGATCCAGCTAGGAAAACATGCCACTCACCAGGGAAAGGGTTACACACTTGTGTGCATTGAATAAATGCTACTCAATATAGATAATAATCATTACCACTGTTTGAAAGCCATGTTTTTAACACACACACAAAATATTAGGAATGACATGGTTACAAATAACGTCTCTAAATAAATCTATTTGGCTTTAAGGAAAGCTCCCAATATTTGCCTTGTTTTTCTGATTTTGCAGAGGAGTAGGGAATACTTCATCACAGACTGGCTTCAGTGCTGGGGAACTGGCAGAGAGAACACATCCTTTTCAAAACCACAGTATTGTTAATTCACCAGATACTATCCCTGAGCCCCCAAGGTAACCCCTTATGCCCTTATATCACTTCCTTCAAATTTGAGAATACCCATATTATATATTTCAAATTCACCACTGAAACTATGTAGTTCCTATCCCACCAGACACTCGTAGCCAATGGGAAAATAAACAGGAATAGTAAAAGTTAATTTAGACAGAACTGAATAATTATTTGCCAATTAACTTAGTTTCATAGGAATCAACACTAACATTTAAACACAAGTACACTTATCTCTAAACTGCCAGTGCATAGCCGTTTGTTAATTATCACAGTTTCCACTAACATCGCCGCATGGGGTGGGTGGAAAAGAAATCTAAACAGCACAAACCCTCAGCAGGTTTAGCAACTCACCTAAACATAAGAAAGACAATGAAGATACTTCATAACAGTTGACCCAAACAAATCCATTCTCCTAAAATTGTAATCAGAGGAAAATTGTCATTGCTTCTCAATACTTGAGATTGATGAATTTGTAAATAGGTAACATAATGAAACTGTATTTCCTTTAAATAGCATCACTTATTCTATCCTGTTTAAATATTCATTGTCATGTAACGAAAAGGCCCGTTAATTCCTTTTGGGTGGCTTTGGTAAGACAGAATATAGTCAAGGAGTAGTGTTCAAAGGTTAATAAGAAAGGCTATAGTTGTATTCTGGCACATAATTACTTGGGTGAAGATGGTGT